TCACTGTTGTGGCCTCTCCCGTTGCGGAGCACAGGCTCCGGACGCGCAGGCTCAGCGGCCATGGCTCACGGGCCCAGCCCCTCCGCGGCATGTGGGATCTTCCCGGACCGGGGCACGAACCCGTGTCCCTGGCATTGGCAGGTGGACTCCCAACCACTGCGCCACCAGGGAAGCCCTGGATCTGTAATTTCTACATCCTGGGCCACTTAAGATTCAATTCCAATCCAAAACAATGAATAGTCTGTATTCTGTAACCCATCTTTCCTTAAAATGGTAACATCGCATCTGAAATCCAAATGATTAACAAAACGGAGCACACATAGCTACGTACTCTAATCTGGTTTTTAAGCTGTTCGGCCTCCTGCCGTAACTGGTCAAGTTCACTCATCTTCTAATCTTAGTGCTCTTCAAAGCCACCTCAAAGAATCTTAGATCTGAAAGAGAAAAGCACAAAAAATTAATAAACAATGAGTAATTTAATGAAGCAGGTGAGAGAAGGAAATTGAAATTTTGAGAGCTATGGTTTCATTACAAATCAGAGTACCTTTCTTTAGCATTCATAAGAAGGTATAAAATGCCTACAAGGGCTGGGTTAACAAAGTATAATTACTATTATACACAAGCTTTACTCAATGACAACGTCTAACAGACTATTCAAAAGGTGGTGGTGGGCTGAAGAAAGAAAAATCTGTTTAGAAGCAGGTTTCACGAAGGATTTGGGTCTCGCTTTTATAAACTAAGACTGACGTTCAGAATAGCTCTCACATGAAAACCCTGGGGTTGTTAGTTTAGGAAATAGAGCACAGCGGCAACCTGGCAACCCAGCACCTCAAAGCCGTGTCAATGATCTTGAACCCATGACTTCCCAGAAGACATCAGAACGTTCACACAGTGATTCTAATTGTTTTTTGGTTTTTGTTTTTTTTGGCTGCGTTGGGTCTTCGTTGCTACACGCGGGCTTTCTCTAGTTGCAGCGAGCACAGGCTACTCTTCGTTGCGGTGCGCGGGCTTCTCGTTGCAGTGGCTTCTCTTGTTACGGAGCATGGGCTCTAGGCACGCAGGCTTCAGGAACTGCGGCACACGGGCTCTAGAGCGCAGGCTCAGTAGTTGTGGCGCACGGGCTTAGGTGCTCCACAGCATGTGAGATCTTCCCAGACCAGGGCTCGAACCTGTGTCCCCTGCATTGGCAGGTGGATTCTTAACCACTGTGCCACCAGGGAAGTCCCACACAGCGATTCTAAAAAGACTCAGTTTGGTGTCCAACAGGCCTCTGATTCAGGACAACTTACTCTCCCACCAAAATGGGCTCTGGGATCCCAGGAGAATCAGAAACAACACCGCAGTCCTTATAGGTACAGGCCAAAGTAGGCTCAGTACAAGCAGCCCTGCTGCTCACTCTTGACCCTGCCCCACCCCCAGGCTCATTAGACAGTATTCCTGAAATCAGGGTCAAAACACAATTATCCTATTAAACAAGAGACTTATTTTCCCAAGGGAATGTCATAATTGGGGGTTGCATTTCTGTCCAAGAACGTAGCTGTTAGGTCAATCCTAACTATGACCAACCTATCACAAAGCTGAAGATAGAATTACCATCTTTTAATCACTTAAGAATACAATTAGCTCCCACAGGCAAACACAGCTTATTCAAGGGCCTCAATTTCCTATGCAAACACAGAGGGGAGAATTCTTCCATCACAGATTTTGTGTGAAAGTCACAGGGTTATTATAATATACACCAAATATTTAATTAACAGTAATTATTTATTTTCTTAAAATGGAAACACATCTGGGGGAAATAATCTGGATGACCCAAGAAACGTAGTTGTTAGTTCCCAGTCTAGATAAACTTTCCTTTTCTGTACAAAAGCATTCAAAATAATTGTTACATGGTCTATATTACAGAATACTTACTGAGAAAACAAAAATACCTTTCCCAATAAAAAGCATCTTTAAAAAGTATGCGTTAAGTTCCTGGTTCCTGCCCTCACCTGCACCCACCAGCCCACGTCTATTCACAGCCACAAAACGCCATTAGCTGCCGGGGCGGGCCGGGCAGGAAGCAGAAGGGGAAGTGCTGGGCTTCTAGGGGCATCAAGTCCCTCGGGCTGACCCTAAATGAAAGTCTGCAGAACTACCAGGAAAGGCCTAACGGGGTGGGGCCGTGACAGGGAGCTGAGGCATCTCAGAGGATAAAGGCAGGGCCTGCCCCTCCAGCCGTCCGGGAAGGCAAGACAGTGATACCACTGTTCCTAGAGGCATTACTTCAAGTGGGTGTTGTAAGCCCGGGCAAGCTTCGCCCACGCAGACTCCCTGGCGCCTCCCTGGACAAAGGGAGCATGGCTGGAGTTACCCTATGTGATAACCGAGCTCATTCTCTCTCTCGTTTTCATGTATCAAAGTCTGAGGACTGCAGCTGATGAATATTAATGTATGAAATAATAACTAACAGTGCCAAAAGAACACGAAATAATTTTAAAACAGAAAGCTGTGCCGATGTGTTTCCTGAGCTTATGGACGGCCCTGCATCCTCCCCACCAACCCTGGCGGCCTGTTGCAGCGCACGTGCATTTCACACGTGATCAAATTATACTATAAGGACAATCCGGCAGAGCCCGGGGCAGTTTTATCCCAGTAACACTCCCCACCCGCACGTTAAAGAATCGTTCTTAGTCTGTGCAGAAGCTGCTTCATTCAATCCTTCCAAAATCAACGTGAACAAAGCTAACAGCTAATGCTGTCATGAGGCTCACACTGAACTAAACGGCTAGTTTCAGTCAACAAACCATGTATTCAGATCCTAATTTAAACACTAAAAAGCTAAGCTAGTTTTTAAAGTAAGGACAAAACCAACCGACTCCTAGGATCGAGATAAACAGAGCTTTCAGAGATGCTAGGTGGTCTTCAGGTAAAGACCCAAATCCTAGTATTAGATGGAATAGCTCCTGAGATATTAAAATTAAATATTTCTTTTAATTAGATGCTTTTTTAACATATTATAAAAGAATACATATCAATACATGATAATCACCCAGCTGTATTGCTTCAAACTAGAGAAATTAATTTATTGAAAACTTAACTATCTTTAAAATGAGAAGCTCCAATTCAGTTATCTCTCAAAATTTCAGAAGCAATAATACCAATACTTGCTGACTTCAATCTTTAGTCACAAGCAAAGAGAACAAAACCAGATCTATTTCTCTTTCATCATTAAGTAACATAAATTATTAATACTGCCTTTTGATTACGGCTCTCTCTACGACCAGTGTCCACATTCAAGTCACAATTAGGAGACTCAAAATTCGTATCGGTTAATTTTTAAAGAAAAGGGTATTCATATCTCTACTACCAATAAAAATAAGTGTCCTGAAAGGCCCTTTTTGATCTCTACAGTCTGGTCAGAAAGAGAAACCTACTGGCAGACATTTAAAAATTTTTTTCAACTACATTCTTTAGTCTACATGTTGAAGGTGTATTTTTTAAAATCCAATCTGGAAAAGAAGTTATCTGCAGCTGGCCTCTCACCGATGGAGGGACACTCCAGCACGCTCACCTCTCCCCGTCGCCCTCTGGGCACTGGGGTTCGCTCTGACGTGGCACAGTCCAGGACCTCCTCTGTGGGGCACACACACATCCACGATGGACAGCCTCCCGTGCCTTGAGCCAACGGACACTGAACCGGCCTCACAGGATGAGTGTGAAGGGACCGGGCAACACCACCATCACATAAGACCAAGCAGTCGACACTCCCCCAAAGAGAAGTTGGCAACCCACGGACAGCAAGGAGCTGTCCTGCACACTCAGATACAGAGTGGGACGAACGGGAAGCAAAAACTTCCTAAATCCCACAAACTAAAAGTTCGTCCCAAATGCTCTTCTGTGAAGATAACAGCAAATGAAAGAGACAAGGTACAGAAAAATATATAAATGATGACATTTCTCCTTTTGTGTATTATAAAAAGAATAAACATCTATGCTAATGTAAGCAATCTTTTTTCTATATACACAAGAAAATGTTAATGGCTATTTTGGGGGGAAATACACAGGAATAGGGGCAGCTCTGATTTTTCACATTATCATATATATAAAGGAAAAAAGACAAATTATATATGTAAAATTATATGTGTATATACATTTTTTTTTTCCCCAAAAAAGTTAACTGGTTATCTGGGCCGTTGAAAGAAGCATTCACAATTCTTCCTCCATACTTCTCAGTTAAAAAAAAAAAGCTAGTAAATGTTAACAGTTTACTGGGTGAACCATTACATATCACTAGGAACAATAATGGAGATAGTATAAAAAGCTAGAAAAATGCTCATTATATGCTAAATGAAAAACAAATTTGTGTGTAATCATTTTAGCTATTTAAGAAGGCCAAAAACATACCTAATGTAAAAACACATGTAATAAGGCAGCATTTTTGTTAGAATTATTGGTCATATTTTTCTCTTCGTTTTCCAAATACTGGACATGCAGTTTATATTCCTTTGATCACAAAAAATGAATGTACATTTTAAAGGTCTTACTTACATGTAACTGCTTTTGCTGTTCTCTTCACTATCCTTAGTCCCCCAGAGCCTCTGAGAAGCCCACCATCAGGTTTACGTGGCCTGGGCTCCTTCTCTCCTCCAGGGCCAAAGTCACGGCTAAGCACTGGCCATGCTGACTCAGCGCACTGACCAGCCTAATCCACTAAGACAGGACCTGCTGAGAGTCTCACTTCTGTTCTTTATGACCCACATCTGCCACCAGCTTTTATTTAGAGCTTGTTTTGGAAATACTTTCCACAGAAATTTAAGTATCTTAAAAGCAAGTATGTGAAGTGATCTGCCCCTACTTTAGGTTATACCCAGTATCTCTGTAAGTTAAAGTGTTAACATAATTTTTTATTTAAATATTTCACATCCGTGACATAATATACTTTGCGATTAATGCAGCACCACGCCCCTCTAATCAAGACCCCTGTAAAGTCTAGCAAGGACACTTCAAGGGCCCCCAGTGCCCCAGTTATTACCCAGTCACTAACAATGATATGAGCTGATATTAAGGATAAAATGGAGTGACTGCATCAAAATATAATTTCAGGTTCTGGTTTTGCGACACACAAGGAATGTGACTTTCACCTGCTCACTTTCCACTCCGGTCTGCTGACTGCACCACAGGAACGACAGCCCCAACACCGCAGGGCCAAGAAGAAAACTAACAAGACAACTGTAAAGGGCTCTGTAAGCCTTTCTGTGTGATCAGTGATCAGACTACGAAGTGCATCCCCCACAGAGCAGCCTCCACGCACACGCGGGTTTGCGACCCACAGGAAGGCGGCCCGGGACGCCAGCCACCGGTGCCCGTGCTGCACTCAACGTCCTGGGGCAACAGCAGCCCCGCCGAGCACCCCACGCCACGGGGGCAGGAGTCTGCCAACCTGCTCGGCCAC